CAGGTGGTAGTCTTGATTTGGGAGAAGGAGCAAGAATACCAGGCACTCATAATTCTAAAAGGTGAGTGGCAGATAGTGAAGGAAAATGCAGAAGCAGTAATTCTTGGTTTCAGGGGCAGGCAGGCCAGTCATGAGGGGGCCAGACTGCAGCCACAGAACAGTTCAAGGAGCATCTCCTAGGCCCAGGCCATAGGACTGACCTTCTAAGGGGCCCAGAGTTTTGGGCACATTTCAGGCAGGTAGTTAATGAAGGAATAACACAAAATCCCAATTATTTGAGCTGGGACACAGAGTGGAAGTTGTATCACAGTGACAAGGCAACACCCACTGATCAGACTTGGGCCACCAAATCAGAGGGAGAGTACTGACAAGGATGACGATGCTGAGTGTCAGAATCTTAGGCTCTGTCCCCTAAATCTTAATTTCTGCCTAACATTGGGATTGGCACCAGAGTAGTGGTTCTCATTGTTTACTGTGAGTAGGAAGTACCTGGACTATTTATAGAAGTCCAGATTCTAAATGCTCCATTCCTAAAGGGGGATCTGTTTTTCTGATGGAGTTGGTTTGTGGTTGGTCCAGGAATATGCACTGTGAATGTGTCCGCACACCACCAAATCATCTACTGGAATTGGCCCTTCTGAGGGTCAGTGTCCTAGAGGATTCAGGGGTGCCAAGTTCAGGTATAGGACTTTAGGCAAGGCCTGGCTTCCCTTCTCCTCGAAACCTGCGGCTGGGCCCAGACCAGGTTCCGAGCCTACTGGTTTTGATTAGTCACTCTTGATTGTATGTGGATTGCCTGTCATGTTTAAACGGCATCTTTTTTCCCCCTACATGTTGTCTAAAATATCTGCTAAGGAACTGTGGTTTTTTGTGGGATACTCTCTGTCTCTGTGAATCTTGGGATCTGCTCCTTATTTCCTAATAAAGAAGTTTCCTCATAACTTTGGCTTTGGGCACCATAAATGACATGAACACTATCTTTAAACAGATTTTCCTTTACAACGAGCTGGAAATCTCCCAATCATTCTGACAGGCTAATCTCAAGCCAGATTCCCCCTGGAAATATGGGCTGGACTCTTCATAAACTTGGTTTTCTTACAGAGGATTGCTGATCCAGTTGAACCAAAGGCAGGACAACTTGGCAAATGCATATGGTGCTATTTTTTCTTTTATTTTAATAATCCTAAATAAGTTCTCTGAATTCATAGGTTCTCTATCTGAAACTTGGAGATCAACTCATGAAGAGAGCCAAGTGTAATTTTAATGAATGGCTCAAAGAAATCCAAGGTATTGTGTAGATGAAAGTTAACAGCAGTTCCAGTTTCTGAGAGTTAAGTCAGATGCATGTGTTCTTAATTTGGTCAGAAAACTGAGCAATGACTATGAAGTTTGACAGCCAGGGAGGAATGCAGTGATCTAGATAAAGATGTCAGGTTCACATCTTTAATAATTTAATCTTTAATAGTGAAAAGACATGACTAGACTTGGTGGGCAATTAGCTTGTACCTTGTGAGGAAAACAAACTTCCTGAGACCTCTCAGCCTGTCTAGAATGCAAAGAATTTGGGAGCAATACAGTAAAGATTCTTAAGTTAAGTAAGAGTAACTATCATTCAAGACGTGCAGCTCTGAAAACAACTCACAGGCTCTAAAATTGTAATATGGTTTCTGTGTAGGTTAAGAAACAAGATAAGCAGTTCTATTAAATCCTAGTCTACTATTAATAGCTTCCAAAACCTGCATCTACAAGTTTGCCAGGCACAGCTAGGGAATAAAGTGTGTTCATCCCTTAGTGGGCTGAGGACATCCTTTCCCACTTTTTTCTTATTCTCTCTTTCTCATTCATTAGGTAATTTTCACAGAAGATTGAGACTCAGGCCCTAGTAAAGCCATAGTCAATAGCTCAGTCCCCTTTAATGATAAAGAGAGCTAAAACCAGCACCATCTCTTAAATATATAGTGAGACAAACACACACCACTCTATAGTCCAGGAAATCAAAGTTTTCTTACTGATCAAAAAGGATCTCTGATTCTTTTCCAAAAGGCCCCAATAGATAAGCAATTATGCTTTAACAGGTATTCAATCTGATTGGAGGAGGTTATAAGAATTTCTTATAGAGGGGTACCTGGGGGGTTCAGTTGGTTAAGCAGCTGCCTTTGACTCAGGTCATGGTCCCGGGATCCTGGGTTTGAGGCCCGCATCAGACTCTCGCTCAGCGGAGAGCCTGCTTCTCCCTCTGTCTGCCGCTCTGCCTACTTATGTTATCTCTCTATATCTTTCTGTCAAATAAATAATAAAATATTTTTAAAAAGAACTTCTTATACAAAATAATCTTTATTAAGGAGGAGAGCAATCAAAATCTTTCATTTAAATTCTCCTTAAATTGCTTCTTGCTGTTCAGCTAAAAAACACACTTATGTCCTGAGCAAAGCACAAAGTTGCTGCTAAAGAAACAAAGGTATAAGGAAGAGGCTCTTGCCCAAATGGATACAGAAACATAAAGAACTAGAAGTAAGTTCTCTATTAATAAAATGTTATGTTTGTGCTGTATTCGTGGGTACTTCGGGACTTACTTTGCTGAGAATTCACTAAAGAATGAGTAAAATTTCCCTAGTTAGGATTTATTGATCCAAAAGATAAAATCATGGTGTCCAGGCAAATTTAGATAGCTCTGTATATGACACACGGGGTAGAGGTGATAAGGAGTCAGCTTGGTTCTTTTGATAAGGAGATACGTTGGTGGCTTGGGGTGTCCTGAGTATGGAGTTAGAACAGCTAACAACTCTTGGAAAGGAAAGACAATTCTCGGGCACCATAATTCAGGGTGAGAGGTAGAGTCTTATGGAGTACTGCAGCTCTGGCTCTGTAAGTATCCTTCAGTGTTCTTTATGCTTTCAAGTCAGCCAACTTGAATTAAATGCCTACTCTGCTGGGCTTGGGACTCTGGGTACAAGGAATCTACAAATAAGTAAGGGAGGCAGACAGGTAAAGAAATAAATGCCATTCTGGGGAGCAGGCATTAAATGAGGTAGAGGGCAAAATTCACGATTTAGAATATGGGGTACTACTGTTAAAATGAACTCCTGATCCTGGTAGCTTAATACAAAGAAAATTTGTTTCTCACTCATGTCAAATCTAACCCTGATCACCCTGAGTGGGCAGCTCTCCTGCTCTGGGCAATGACGCAGAGACGGGAACTGTTTCTGTGGGGCTCATCCAGCCGGTAGGTGAAGGGAGGAATTCACGGAGGATCCTCCCCCTGATTCTTGGACTTCTTCCTGGAAATGATACTTGCCATTTAGGTTCATAATTCATTGGCTAGAAACAGTTGTATGCCTTGATGTACAGTGCCTGAAAAATTGGCAGCTACTTTGAAGAAAAGTCAGGATAATCTTCATAAAGAAGAGGGGCAGCAATCCCTGGTGGCCTCCAGCAGTCTTTGCAGCAGGGCAGTGAAGGTCACGGGGGAGAGCTCTCCTCAGAGACAGTGATGTGTGCAATGAATCTTAATGGAGAAAATAATTTGGCTGTCAGATGATGGGGTATCAGAAGAGTAAAGCATTCAAAACAGTTACATTGCTATTAGGATAGAAATATGAAACCTTACAACAGTGGCAGGGAAGTGTTTGGGGAATATAGTCTAAGGCCAGAAGTGATGGGAGACAAGGCAGAAGAATTATAGCCATCAGTTCATGAGGGTAACTTGCAATCTTTGAAGAGAAGCTTGGAGCTATTAAGACTAACTAGACCTGTGATTTTAAAATTTGGCTTCATGGTAAAATGATAAGGGAATTTTTTTTTCTTAATGCTCAGTCTTAAATTCCCCCAACCCATTAGATCAGAATCTGTAGATAAGACTCAAGAATCTGTAATTTTATTAAAAATAGAATTACCACATAACCCATAATTCCACTACTGAGTATTTACCTAAAGAATACAAAAATAATAATTCAAAAAGATATAGGCACCCTTATGTTTATTGTAGCATTATTTATAGTACATAAGCTATGGAAGCAATCTAAGTATCCATCAATAGACGGATGGATAGAGATGTGGGACATATATACAATGGAGTATTACTCAGCCATAAAAAGAATGAAATCTTGCCATTTGCAACAACGTAGATGGATCTAAAGGGTATAAGACTAAGTGAAATACTTCAGGGAAAGAAAGACAAATAGCATATTATTTCACTCATATGTGGAATGTAAGAAACAAAACACAGAAAAAAGAGACAAAAAACCAGACTCTTAAATATAGAGAACAAACTGATGGTTACCAGGGGAGAGGTGGGTGGGTAGGTGGGGGATGGGTGAAATAAGGGAAGGGGATTAAGAATACACTTAACATCATGAGCACTGAGTAATGTATAGAACTGTTGAATCACTATATTGTACGCCTGAAACCAACGTAATGCTGTAAGTTAATTACAGTGGAGTTAAATATAAAATTTAAATAAGTAAATAAATCTGTAATTTTCAAAGTTCCATAGAGGAATAGAATGTATAACCTATATTGAGAATAACTTAAGTTTTGTTAAAATGCAAACAAATATTTGATCGAGTTTATTCCCGTGGCTCTTGAGAAGAGAAACATATACATACTCAAAATGAGTTTTTTAAAGTCCCATTCTAGTACAGGTAGGCATTGTCTGAAAATAAAATCTTAATCATCGTCAAGAACATTTATGGGATGACTATTTGAGACTAGACAATTTGAGAGAACAAATTTTCTTCTCAAAATCAAAGGCCTGTAATTTTCCATTAAATAAAGGAGGTTGCCTGATGTAATAGAAAAGACAGGGGAATGTGGGGCCAGACCTGGGTTTGAATTGTACTTGACCATTTTGCAGATAAGTTACTTTCTAGGATAGATATTGAAGTTTCCAGCAATATCTCTGAACTTCTCTGAGACTTTTTGTTATTCATAAAATAAGATAATTTTGTGTCTGACACTGCTGGTTGCCTTGCTGATATTTACTCTTCTCTATTTCTGTTGAGGTGGCAGCGCGCCCAGAGCTTGATTTCCCAGGCTCCCTTGAAGTGAGCAGTGGCTCCATGACAATTTCTGATGAACAAGGAGTGAGCAGAGGGGAGAGCAATAAGCCCTGAGCTCAGAGGAATGATGGGGGTAGGCAGATCCTGTAGGGCCTTGAGACTGTTTTCAGCCTTTGGATTTTATCCTAAGTGAAATGAAATAAAAAAGCCATGAAGAATCATGAGAGAAAGGTGATTGCTCTGAATACCATGACAAGAGTGTACTGTAGAAGGACGAGGATAGAGGGAAAGGGAGACCTGACAGGAAATTATTGCAGCTATTTAAGGAAAAGATGCTGGTATATTAGATGAGGGTGGTGAGCTGTGGAGAGCATAAGCTGTCAGGTTCCGGACACAGGTTGGCAGGACAGACAATAGAAATTGAAGATGGAATTGATATGGGGTGTGTGATTAAGATAATTAAGAACGAGTCCACGTTTTTTGACTGGAATAATTTTTGAATAAGGATGAATGAGATTGCCCTTCACTGAGATGAAGAAGGCTACAGAAGAAATGTGCTCAAGGAGAAGGATCAGGAGTTGAGTTCTGTATATGTTGAATGTGATGTCTATTGGAAATCTGAGTGCAGATGTAAAGTAGATAATTTTGTATATGAGTCTGGAGTTGAAGAGAGAAGTCTGTGCTGGGGATATAACATGTCTGTGTTGGGAATTCCAACATGGGTTTAAAACCATGAGATTGGGTTAAATCACCAGGGTAAGTGTACATAAAGGAGAGGCGTGTGTGCTGTGAATCAGCCCACCATTAAGAAGTCAGAGGGAAGAGAGGAAATCATAAAGGAGATTGAGAAGGAAGGTCCGTGAGGGAGAGGAGAAGTTAGAGAGTGTGTTGCCCTAGAATCCAGGAGAATAAGCAGAACAACTCTGTCAAATGCTGCTGACCAATCACTCAGTCAGATGGGAATTGTGAATTCCCCATTGGATTGAACAATATGGCGGTCATGGGTGTCCTCAGGGAAAGTATTTTGCTGATGTGCTAGAAGATAGTTCCTGCTGGGTATGCTTTAGAGGAAATGGAAGGAGAGGAAACTGGAAACAGGAGTAGAGCTAATTCTTTCAAGAAGTTTTAAACCAAAGACATGAGGCAGTTGCTAGTGGGAAAGTGAAATAAGAATGAAGGAAGGGTTGTGTGTGTATGTGTGTGTGTGTCTGTTTAAAGATTGGAGAAACAGGGGCGCCTGGATGGCTCATTTGGTTAAACATCTGCCTTTGGCTCAGGGCATGTTTCCCGGGTCCTGGGATCAAATCCCACATTGCGGGGGGGGGGGGTCCCTGCCCAGTGGGGAGCCTGCTTCTCTCTCTGCCCCTTTCCCTGCTTGTGTTCTATCTCTCTCAAATAAATAAATAAAATCTTAAAAAAAAGATTTGAGAAAAAAAATAAACATCATGATAGTATGCTGGTGGGAATAATCCAGAGACAGGGCAAAAATTTGATGCTGTTGGAAAGAGGAGAGATTCTTGAAGTGATAGTCTTAAATTGGGTAGAGGGGATATAATATAAGGCATATTGAGAGGACCATGGAATTCTTTACCCATGCTATCTACAGTGTAAGGCACCAAAGAGGATATGAAATATACAAAACTAAGTATGTTACCTCAAAGCACTCATAGTCTCACTAGAGAAACAAAGACATTTTGGACCCTGAAGACACCTTAGTGCATGCTTTATGTAATCTTCTTTGTGTCATGAATTGCACAGACTCTTTAAGACTTTGAGATTTAAAGATTCTTTAAGTCACAGCCAGATGGATGCTCTGTTGTCCTTCTTCATTGTCTCTGTTAGATGGAGAACGTCTGTTAGACCCACAAGAGATGAGTTTCCCAATTAAATTTGCCAAGCCAGAAGACAGTGTAATCAACCTGTATTTTATGATTGGTTCATGATAGCTTCATATGGTCTTTTGACAAATATTTCCCGACTGCCTCTTTAATTCCAGGTCCTTTGCTAGTTGCTGGGTTTGGAGAAACGAGAACTGAACAGGTAACGAGAACCAGAGTTGAAGGAGCAGTGTGGACAGTGCAGTAGAGGGACAGGCATGTGAGACAGAGATTTATTATTTTTTTTTAAAGATTTTATTTATTTGTCAGAGAGAGAGAGAGAGAGAACGCACAAGCAGAGGGGGCAGCAGGCAGAGGGAGAAGCAGGCTCCTTGCTCAGAGATCCCAGGACCCTGGGATCATGACCTGAGCCAAAGGCAGACACCCAACTGACAGAGCCACTCAGGGGTCCTGAGAGAGATTTAGAAAGTAGAATTAGTATTTGGTGATTGAATAGAAATGGGAAGTTCAGTGAGATTGAGGAGTTCACATTTACTCTGAGAATGTTCCAAATACTAATCTCAATTTCTGGAATGTACAGATTGATAACCATATATTACTATTCATTTTATAAGTTTTTTTTTTTAGGTTTTATGTGGATTTTCCTAGAATTTAATCAGATTCGTATCAATTTCTCATCTTTTTACCATAAAGTTTTACATACTGATCTATTTACATTTTCAATCTTTTGTGAACCCATATAGTTGCATTCCTAAGATTTTACATCTGTGATTTCTTAGCCTTTCTAAACATGTACAGATATTTGAAAATGTCTTATTTTGTGTTATTTATCAATTACGCTGTTCTCAGTTTTCAACTGAAGATAAATGTGCAGAACTCCTTACGTAATTTTCTGTTGAGTTAAATCTTCTCTCATTTCCCAGCTCTTCAATCTTCTCAAGACAAGAATGCTTAAAACAACAGCATCAATAACAGTATAACTATAAACACAAGTGCTAACATCCTTCTTGTCCCTGTGCTCAGCTGTAACATTTGTGGCTATCACATTTCCTCTAATGCATTATGGCACTGACTATACACAGCTCTTACTTTCTCCTGTTGTGGTATGAACGAGGAGGTGATTAGACTATCAGGCCTGCTATATACCGCTTTTCCAGGGTGCTGGAAGAACAGTTTTCTTTTTAGCACGGGCCTTGATTTTTGCAACAGAGGCTGGCAGGCAGGCAGAGAGAGAAACTGAGGAAGGATATGCTTATTGACTTTCAGGTGGGCAAAGGTTAGGCAGGCCACTGATTGCATTTTTTGATAGTTTTATTGGCCTTCTAGTTGGCAGAAAATCATCTCAGATTCTGATTCTTAGGTTTCAGTGTTAAACTGCAAGTTTTCCTTTCCTTTTCTGTCTTCATACAGAGTAAGTGAGATGTTAGTGGATCTTCCTTATAGTCTCCCTTATAGCTGGGTGCTTTGAAGAAATCGTTTATGAAATTAAGACATGATTGATTTGAACTGCTTTTATAACATAAAAAGTAAAGAAAATTAAAATCTAGGGCTTTGTCATCCAAAGATATTTCAGCACCTTTACATCATAAAGATGCATGGTTATGTAGAGAACAATAATAATGAAGATAGCTTTTGAAAAGTACAATCATTCAGTAAATATTGAATGTAATCTGAATAATTCCTCAGCAATCTATTGTGCATGTTTTTCCATATTACTGAATATTCTTTTATTACATGTTTTAAAAATGGATGCCAGGGGCGCCCGGGTGGCTCAGTGGGTTAAAGCCTCTGCCTTCGGCTCAGGTCGTGGTCCCAGGGTCCTGGGATGGAGCCCCGCATCAGGCTCTCTGCTCAGCGGGGAGCCTGCTTCCTCCTCTCTCTCTGCCTGCCTCTCCACCTACTTGTGATCTCTGTCTGTCAAATAAATAAATAAAAAATAAAAATAAAAATAAAAATAAAAATGGATGCCACCCAGTGGTATTTATTTACATTATTTTTACATATACTTATTTAATAACATGTATATAAAACCTTTAATATTGAACCATTAATATTGAAAGGTGTGTGTGGGTGTGTGTGTGTATGCTATGAACTTCCTTGTGCATATATTTTCTGTCTCTGTACGGTTTCCTTGGGATAAATGTTCTCAGTGGCATTTCTGGGGAAGAGAGTACCAGCACTAGGAGGCTTTTGCTTTCTTGTGCAGATTTTCCTTGGAAGAGTGGTACCAATGTATATGCTCACCAGCAGTGCACTAAGAATCAATGGGTATTACCCTTTGTTGTTGTCTTTTGTATTAGTTTTCTAGGACTGCCATAATGAGATATCTTGGACTGGGTGACTAAAGCAAAAGAAATTTATTTGCTCACCATTCTGGAGGCTCAAAGCATGAAATCCAGGTCTCAGCAGGTCCATTCCCTTGCACCAGCTAAAACTCTGTGTTCAATAAGAGAAGAGATGGGATCGCTGTTTCTAAGAAGTTCCAGGAAACCGGGATGCCTGGAGTGGGCAAGAGAAGGGTACTGGGGTCAGTGCACTGATCTAGTTGCATACGTCTTTCAGTGTCTTTGCACGTGGATGACTCATCCTACAATCTGCTGATTATAAGATTGTGAAAGCCCAATTTTTTCCTAAAAATTCTATAGGATAGACGTGGCCCCATTATCATTTGGTTTTCTAAAGTTGAGGAAAAGAAATCTAAGTTCAGCTCTTTCCCTCTGCTGGGATTCTGGTTGTTTATCTCTTTATTCTTGGAATTTAAGTTTCTTCCTCTGGGATAGATCTGAAGGCTTGTCTTTCTTTAGTAACATTAGCTCATCTGTGCTCCGTTCGTTTGTTTTGCACAGTGCCTTTTTCAGTTCAGGAACGTATCTGGTGATTACATCTCAATTGCTTCTTTTCCATTTGTTTGAGACTTCTTTAAAAAAATAATCATTTTTGTGTTGGATCTCTGCTTTTTGTCCTCTGATCATTCCTTTTGTTGGATTTTCTGTTTCATTCTCTTATAATGAATATTTTCATATCTAACAGATTTGTTTCCTTGGAGGTATATTTATCTACTGTCATTTCACTGTTTATTTTCCATTTTATTCTGTTTCTTCATCTCATACTTTATGTCACATTCTGCATTTTGAAAGCACTGAGTGCCTTTCTGGCCAATATTGCTCTTTTTCTGTAATGCCTTCACCAGTATTATTCTCTTCTTCTGGATCTTGAAGGCTGTCATCCTACTCTTCCATGAAGGAGGAGAATTTTTGTTTTTCTAGCTCTGAGTGAAGAGCAGGCTATGCAAGCC